TTCACTTTAGCGCATGTCTTTGGACTGTGGGGTCACCCACTTAGAATGTTATTACTCAATTGATTGGGCATTATTAGTGGTTATCAGCTGATAGATTTGGGCCAGTAGAAACCAGAGTATGGGATCAAATTCCCACCTAAAGCATTGCAGTCGTGGATAGAACAATAATGGGTGTAAATAAAATATTGACATATTTTGAAAGATAGTGAGCGTGAATCAAAAATGAAAACGCTTTTAGACAGGATCAGTTTTTTCGCTCATATTTGGTCCTTTCTGCTTCTGTCTATTCTCCATTGATCTTGTTTCTACATTTTTTGCTTGTGTTTTCTAAAGATGCAATGTGAGTTTCATTTAAATCACAGCCGGGCTTCAGCGTCATCATTGGTCCACTAGTTGAGATTGACAATTGTTCCTCTAGCCAATCAGACGAAGGGGGAGTTGACATCAGTCCAATGCAACTCATGGCTGATCAGTCTGGCCGGTGGGGAAGCATTATTTTCCAGGAGTTGCAGATAATATAGACACCTGTCTGTAATCACAGAGGATTTGTATAAATATATATATTAAATATTATACTGTACTTCATACACCTGTCCTTAATTTGGATTTTCTATCAATATAGTCATTTATACTGTAATATCTGGTATCTGTTTGTGATCACAGGGGTTTCACATAAATAATATATACAGTAACTTCAGGCATTATTTTTCTATTTGCACCCATTGGAACCCTGCACGGAGCACCCACTGGAAACCCACATGAACATGGGAAAACATGCAAACTCCCCACATACAGTAAATGCAAAGTGACCCAGCCGGGACTCAAACCAGCGACCTTTTTGCTTTGAGGCCACAGTGCTAACTATACTTTTTGTCAGCTGGGAGAAATTGAAGTGCTCAAAAGTGACATTCAAGACATCACTTTTTTATTTTTGCAGAGCATTTCTATTTCAAATAAGTGTTGTTCTTTTGATCTTTCTATTTATGAAAGAGTCCTTTAGTGAATCATGCGGTTTCTACATCCATATTAAGATTTTTCAACACTGACAGTAATAAGAACATTTCCTGATGACTCAATCAGCATGTTAGAATGGTTTCTAAAGGAGTGCATGACACGTAAATCTGGAGTATTGATGCTGAAAATTCAGTTTTGCCATCAGAGGAATACATTTATTTTTTAAACACTGATTTACTGTAAAGTATTACTGTATTTTTTAGCAAATAAGAGCAAGACTTTAGAAAAAAGGTAGTAAGTTTAATACTATATTGAAAAGTTACTTCTTAACTTACAACAGTAAAAGTCAGTGAGGAGTTTGCTTTAACGTATTAAATAAGTCAAATATTAAAGTAGTAGATCAGAAAACATATTTTTAGAAGTGCATTTTATTTTATATAAGTTCATAACCTACCTATTGACTGCCGGAGGGATTTCATTTGACATCCAGGCCAGTGAGCGCTTAAGAGAAAGTTCATTCACTGTCTAATCATGGGGAATTACACTTGACACATCACAGGCACTGTAATTTACTAAAAGCTTTTTGAAGTGAGCCTGTGATATTAAAAACAGGTAGTATGCATTGCTAGTGTGAATTAGTAATGAATAGAGCGGTGCTGCATTATAATGTTGCTGTAGGTGAAAGCTTAGTGCAGTGCTAGGAGGTTGTTTTCACAAATTGTCTATAGCAATTATAGTCCTATGTAAAACTTCCATATTCTATAGTGGGCTGCTTTGCTTTCTACTGCCTATATGGAATGGAGATCAACATTAGAGAACACAACTACACCTTTAACCAGTTTGAGAACAAACATGATGCTTTCCATTATATCCAAATAAATCAAACTTGCTTTCATTGCTAAAGTGAACTTTGGAGAAGTTTAGGTTAGTGTTTTGATTCTTTATACTGATAAAGGTTTGGTCCCTTCAGGGCTTTCAAAGTTTTACTCTTTTAAATGTGAAGACACTATATGCAGAGACATATACTGTATTTAATATATTCAGTACCTTAACTACAGTCTGGAACCAATTGGGTTTCTCTGTATATTCTTTCGTGGACGACCAGGGCAGGATTAGGGATGTTTCTAAGTGCTGATAAACAGTTAATATATTAATCATATGCAGATAATAAACCAGTAATAAATGGTAAGAATTGTTTCTTAAAATAATTTTTTACCAAAACTACTGATGATAATTTGATAAATCTTAATAAATTGCTGATATATTGTCTCCAAGAGGTTTAAATGAGGAGTTTGACATTTGTCCTTTTCCTTAATAATTCTTTAATGTTTAATTAGATGTTGGGGTAAAGGTTTTTTGGCTGTATTTTCTTGTATATTGTGTTGTATTATTTTACCAAGTAGTTCAAGTGGGCTAAAGACCCCTATGCTATGCTTGAGGAATGTGAAAGACTGGTTATCCTTGAACTTTCTAGACTTTAAGTAAGAGTAAGAGTGAAAAGATTTTGTTCCGCCCGTCAAAGTCTTCCAGAGCCCCGATAGTTAATCTTGAAAAATTAAGCTTTTCTATGAAGCCCTGGGTAAAAAATCTGGGTGTTATTCTGGATGATGGCTTGAGTTTTGAAAAACAGATAAATGCAATGGTCAAATCCTGCTTCTTTCAGCTTCGACTTTTAAAAACCAACAATCATTTTTTTTTTTTTTTGTATTTCCCTTCTATATTAGGTTTTTTTATTTTGTGATGTAATATTATGGTTTGTACCTGTATTTTCATTTTGAAAATCTAAGTTGTATATTTATTTATAAATGTGTTTTTTTTTCTTGTTGTGAGATAGGAGATCATGTGATCCAGAAGTGTATAAAAAGGAGCAACTTACTGCTTGATGAACACTGTCTGATGAAGAGCCGTGTGCTCAAAATGTTACACGATTTGTGTCAGCCTTTTTTAATTGAATAAATTAGCATTTTTGGAAATGTTTTGCCTTTTTGCATATATATTTTACACTTTAGAGACTAAACAAACAAAAACATATTTTACAGCAATTATCAAAATACTTTATTTTATTCAATAGTCTGTTGAAATTCTTGATTCTGATTAGGTAGAAGTAGTGCAATAAAATCGCTTAATCCTCAGGTAGTTCCAGTCAGCTTTGATCACAGTTCGAAATATACGCTTGCCTCAGAGCAAATATAAACATGGTAACTGAGTGACGGTTGCTGGAGCCTTCATTCTTCTGCATGGTCTGGAGGACACTGATGTGTGCTTCACCAGGAGCTGAGGGGATTAACCAACTTGGAAATGCTCCAAATTATTTGCCAAAAAGGTAGCTAACACATATTACTATGAGCTATTAGATATGCCAGTGTCATTTACTTGTACACAAGGGATCACTTTCTCCAATTCAAGTCAGGCGGTTGTTTAGCTCTGGGTTGTGCAATTAAAATCCTTTAATGCACAGTAATCCATTGATTGTTCCTTATTTGATGTTTGACAGTGGTATGACATACAGATTAAAGACATGAAAGCGAAAAGAATCAAAATTGATATACAACCAGGGCTTGACATTAACTTTTTTGATCACCAGCCACTATGGCTAGTAGATTTCCAACATTACTAGCCACTTGCCATTTTAACTAGAAACAATTTGTTTTGCTTGGAAAATATATTTTATTTTAATAAATGTGACTGTAACATGCTAAAAAGACTTGATTTATATGTTGTGTTGTCCACATGCCTCCTTATTTATCATTTATCACTTGGTGGGTTGGTGGGTGTTAATGTAAAGCCCTGTAAACAACAACAAAAAACCCTCTCTCTCTTTCTTCTACATGTTGGTTGATTTGCATGCCTTCATAGTGTATAAGTTACAATTCATTGTAACAGAATTATACTGTTGTAACAATAATGGTAGTATATATGACTGTTTGGTGGAAACAGTGTTGTCAGTACAACAGTTTTATGGGTACAGTTTCATGTCAAGATCCTGACGAGAGGGAAATAAGGTCATGAATATCACCACGCAGAGTTCCAGTCAGTTTTTAAATGTCATGTTTTGTCATCGGCTCACCACATCATATGCTAGCGTTCATCTTTGCTAACACTATGACCAAGACTTTCACACTGAAGTAAACAAAACTGAAGTTTTAGCCATCAACATTATAGTGGTATAGTGTTACAGTATGAGTAACTGTGATTACTCTAATTTGATGAGTGTTGTATGATGTTAAAAGTGGTGTTATCAACAGAAACACAAAACATTTTGCCTGTTTAGGCAAAAAATGTTTAATTTATACACAGTATACTCTTATGTAACATTTATTCATGTTGGCAACCTGTTAATTCATGTTAGAAACATGGTAGCAGCATGCTAATTCATGCTAACAATATGCTAATTAAATATTGCTAATTAGGGCTTTTTATTAAGCCAACTTTAAAGTTGTTAATTAAACTTTAACCATTTTATCATTATTTTTACTAAATAAAACGTAAATGCACTTATTACTGTGATATTTAAGTGTTAAATATTAATACATATGGCTGACTGACTTTATTTGTTAATTGTTTTGAAATGTCACACCATCAATCTTTTATTTTGATAAAAAAATGCTGGGAGTCCTTAATGCTTTGTTTATTGCTGTTTTAAAATATTCTTATTTCAAGTTTGGGAAAATGCATATTGTGTTACAGGCAATCAACTAAAAGTAACTGAAAACACACAGTAACAAGACACTGAAAATATGGGATCATGAGCTGCTCTAAATGAACACAGAGTTGTGCTTCACTCTAAACATGTATGAGAATCATGAAAATGAAAAATATGTATATGTAAAGACACTGTAAGTAGTTTTCGCTGCTAGAGGACACGTATTCACAACAAACAAAGGCATACTGTACTTTGATGACGCCATGACATCTTCATTACATCCTACATCAAGATCTTTGCAATGTGTCCTATAACAGTTTTAGTCTTTTTCATCAGCAATAATGAAATATGTTGATTCTAAAGCCATTCCTTAAGTTATAAAGCATCTCCATTTCCCCTACAGGCCGGGCGGACGCATGCTGAAGCAGCCCTCCAGCACAATTAGCGAGGCCTCCACTACTGTCACCACCTCAACTGTGGACAGCACTTCAGGCTCAAAGGTCAGTAACAAAAAGAAATTGTAATATTTTAGGATTTATAAAGTATTTGATTATTTTTTTTTTTAAACCTGATGAGTTTTCTGTGGGAACCTGTGGGACTGTGATTATGTGATTTTATTGTTGTAATGGTTTGAATCAAATGCCAACATCTGATGCATTTTTTTTTCCTACGGTTGATAATAAAGTCAACTGAACTGAACTGATTTTGATAAAGTTCTGGTATTTTGCACCAGATAGTAGAAGACAGCAGGCCCATAGTAGTGTGGTCCAGACCTTTGTATATTTTTTATGCTCTACGAATGAAAAAGGTTTTAAAATAATAATAATACTGTCAAACTGCCAGCTGTGAAACACAGGCTGTGTGAACAAGCTCTTACTTCAAGGGTGCGTGTGCAGCTTTCAATATGTCATGTTGCCAGATATGGTTCTCATAAGCATTGATTAACTGAAATTGTTTTGTAATTCTTTTAATAGTTCATGTCTAGGTTTCGTTTCAATAGAGCCGAGACCACCTAATTCAAGCAATCTTGGAGCGATTACTTTGGCGCGGAACAGAGCGCGATTGCCCTGTTCACATATGCCAAACGAACCGCGCTAACTGGGCAAACGAGATACGTTCCGAAACAAAAGTGTAGGTGTGAAAGCTCTCTTAATTAAATGTTCAGAATTTTAAAATGTACATATTGTCACTCGATGGATAGAGGAAGAATGCACAAGACTTTGGCTAGCAAATCAAAAGGATAAAGGTTAAAGGATGTACAGCTTGACTAGTTGTTCAGCGAACTCCATTGTTTTATAAATGGAATTGTTTATTTTTATTCAAATATGTTCATTATAAAATGGAAAAAAATGCATTAGTTAATACGATTGAAGTAACGTTTTCAAATTATATTTTAATATTTTTACATGAATCAGGAAAATACTCATGGTGACTTTTATGTAATACAGTTTGTTATATTTAACTTCGGCCCACAGGCTTTAATCAGGTTTAGTCTTTGGCCCTTCATAAGAAAAAGTTTAGGATCCCCAGCACTAGAGTAATTTTAAAACTCTTAGCACAATTTACCACATTTAAATATGTTATTTGAAGACTAGATTTAGTGCATTTTGTATAAGAAACATATACCCCTATACCTACAGGCAAGCAGATGAACACAGAATATGAATGCAACATGCTAAATTACGTTAAGCACTGATTAGCAGATTAACAGATTGTTTTGACCACAAGATGCTGCAGCACGTTCACAGATTCACACAGTAACATACTGTTCAGTTTGATCTGTAATATATATATATATATATATATATATATATATATATATATATATATATATATATATATAAATATATATATATATATATATATATCCTTGTAAAATCTCTAAAATTTCTTGTTGTGCAGTCCTACAAACTAAACTAAATGTTGTTAATGTCTTATTTGGCTCAAACTAATTTCATATAATCATATTTATTTTATTCAAGTGTTGATCTGAGAGGTTGAATTTAATAAATATAATAACTCTCTTTATATTACCTTCCAGATAATTGTCTAATGTTTTTTAGCCATTATACATAGGTTTATTTTCATTTTTGAGTGTAATGTGAAGGGGACGCTGACAACGAAGGTGCACATCCAAATGCAGGTTTATAAACAAAATGGTCTGGCAAGCAATGGTCAACAGTATCAAACAGGTACATGCAGGCAAATCCAGAAGAGTGATCAAATAACAGGCGAGTGGTGGATCCGGGCAGCAAACAACATAAAACAAACAAAAACAAAGCAAGGGTCTAACACGTTAAGGCAGGGCAAGGAAAATGCGTCGTTATGCTTACAGTACAGTAAAACAAGACTCAGCACTGAAGTGTGTGTTGCTTGCTGTTTATAAAGTCCATCTAATCAGTCAATGAGCCGCTTCAGCTGTGTGGTAGCAATCAATGGAAAACCAGAACAGGTGTGAGTGTGTGGTGCATGACAGGATTAGTAGTCCATATGGTGACAGATTTGTAGTTCTCCAGCGATCTGAATGGACTTAATCATTGGTTTTTGTGACATTGAGAGTGGTAGGGCTATTTGCTTGTTATCTGGTTGAATGTATAGCTATGTTTATTAAAGAGCCCATATTATGGGTTTTTGAAAATTCCCCTCCATGTAGTGTGTAACACAGCTCTAAGTGAAGTGAAGTATCCAGCTAAGGCTTAAATCTGTAAGAATACAGTGTTTAAAACTGTTGATTCATCTATAAAAGAGTCGACTCATAGTGCTTCAAACGAGTCGCCTTAAACCCGATTCATACGGTGTTTCGCCATGACGTACGAACGAAACCAAGTTATTCACGTGCACGCGCAAACCCGGGAGATTTCAAACCTGAGGCCCCGCCCTCTGACGCAGAAACCCAGACACACACGCACACCCACAAACACACGCACACCCACAAACACACGCACACAAACATGCCGGTCGATTAAAGTCACACTGCAGATGGATATTATATTGAGTCTCTACCCAAAGATGAAACATCAGCATTATAACCAAGCAGTTGGAAACTTCTGGAAGCTACATGCTACAAAGAATACTTCATCTGAGTTTGTTAAAAGAAGGATCAGTAAAGAGTAACTGATGGACGTCAGGATGGATTTCTTCCATTTCTCAAGTGTAAGTACGTGCGGTTAAAGTTGTTGCCTCGTTGACTCTAGCTTGCAAATGTATTTAGTTGTGATTTGTTACTTGTAACCGCGTGTACTGTATCAGGTTAACTGGCTATATTCTCTTATCGCGTGCAAAGTCACGTTAAAAACGCGACGCGTGCTGCTTTGTTTATGGAGCTCCGTGCTAGAGTTCTGCTCCCGCGATTTATTCGGAAATTTATTCCCGCGCCGCAGAAATCTGTCGCGGGGACAGCCGCGGGAATAAATTTCCGAATAAATCGCGGGAGCGGTCGGTAACGGGTTTAATTTGGGACGGGAGCGGGCTGTCTAGCAATATCACGGATATTGCTATGCGAATTAGAAAGAGAGAGTCTGCTTGGTGCTTGTGTGTGTGTTAGTGCGCACGCGCGCGTATGAGAGAGAGCGAGAGAGATAGAGATAGAGAGAGAGAGAGAGAGAGAGCGAGAGAGAGCGAACGAGCTTTGTGTGCTTTGTGCTGTGTGTGTGTGTTTATACAGACAGCTTGGCTGTCTGGACTGTATACTGGGTGATTTTTGGTTCTGTTCTCCTCCGCTCTAGCGGGATCGGGCGCGGCGGGCAGAAAACGGAGCGGGTTCTCAGGCTAAAACCTGGCGGGTGCGGGCGGGAGCCTTGTCGTCCGGAGGTGTGTGTGTGTGTGGTATGGCGAGTACACGACTGTCTCCTTCGTTCGGTTATCCGTGGCACTATCCACTCGCCATAGTGTGGCAGCTAAAATCCACGCCTACACTATCGAGCGTGTATGAACTGTGATTACTTTTTAAATTGCTGATTAGCTATTGGCCATTTCACTCTCTGACTGAAGGCAGTCGACCAATCGCGACAGACTGTCATCGGTCCAATCAGCGCAGATTAGCTTCGCGCTAAGTTGGGGTTTGGGAACAAATGAATCACTGGACGATTCATACAGGAGTCGCTGGGATAATTAGGTAAAAATAAATGCAGATTATAAGACCACGAAAGTGTTTTTTGACCTTGCATGCATATTAGACTGTTGTTGGAGACCCTTACAACCAAGATATGACCCTATTTCATGTATAATATGGGCTCTTTAAATGTAGTCCGTTATCCACATTCAACATTTTAATGATAAGATTCGATTTTATGAGAAAACTTGTGATTCTTGCATTGCATTCAAATTGCTTACCTGTATATAATATATATTTGAACAAACTATATATACTAAATTTGGTCTTTATGTTACATGTTATTATTGTTCAATATTGAGTACAGTGGGTTAGCCTGTTCCGGCTATTCAAGCTTAAAATGTCGTTAAATATTTTGCACAAATTTGTAATGGAAATGCACCTACAGAGAGCTGAATTATTATCGAGACCAGGTTAAGGCTGGTTAAGGAAGTTTTTGCCTGTGCAGGGCTCTAATTTCTAGTTGAGATAAGCAATTCTGTATCCAATTTGCAAAATACAACATGCTAAAACTTTAAATAGCATTTTTTTTTTTTGAGTTTTTATTTTCTTTTCATAACAATATCTGGCAACAAAACTATCAAAACAGTAGAATAACCGTGCTAAATTTCATGTACCTAACAGTTTTAATAAACATTCTCATATAACTTCAGTCCTCGTATCATTTATACACAAATTCTAAATAGATAGAGAGTAGCTTTCACAATTCCCAACAAGCCCCCAGACCTCACAGAAACAGTTCCTCTGTATGTAGCACAAGACGAGCAAGTTAGCTTGACAAGACTCCTGAAGCAGAACATTCTTCATGCTTGGTCAGCATCTGCTCTGGTAATTAGGGTGTTTATTCTTCTGGGCCGAGGCGACAAATTCCCTAGTGCTGGAGACACAAACACTGAGTGATCAGAGCCACGGACTGACAGCAGAGGCGGAAGACTGATGAAAAAGATTGTGATTCGCATTGTGAGTGATTGTGAGCACTTCTGCGTAAGGATGAATTGATTGGGATTTGAGCTGAAAAACATGCTAGTTTGTATGTGTGTGTGTGCTTTTCTATTTAATGGGACAATCAACACAAAAGCAACAATTCTGCATTAGGACAGTTAGAATAAATACGCTTAAATACTTTGAAACAAAAAGGAAATAGAAAAAGCATGTGGTTTACATTTGTATTAAATATAAAAAAAAATGTTAAATGTAAAATGTAAAAAATTGCTGTGTTTAATGCAAATTCGAAGGGTTTTCTTTAAAATGATACCAAAATTTTGCATTTACACCTATGCGTGTGGATTTGGGAAGTTTTTGAATTGGGGTAGACAACATCCAGGTGGAAACCCCAAAGTAGCACTTGACTTTAAGAGGTTAACTGTATATAATATCTGACAAATAAATACACTTAGACACTTGAATAAACAATTACACCAGCAAACTATAAAAAATTATGTGATTTACATTTTTATTTGAGGCAATTTCGTTATAGTGCATTTATGACCCACCTGCATTGTCGTAGGTTATAGACACATGACAAGTATTTATTTGTATAAAATACAATTCTATTTAAACTTGAATGCCATTTAGTTAAATACATTCATAATTACACACACGTGTTTATGTGTACTACAAAGTAAAAACTTTCATTTACTATTCTTAACAAAGAATACTTAAAAAAAAGTTTACACTGTTTAATGATACTTATGTTCCCTTTTTTTATTATATTATCTAGCAGTATAATTTTCATATTCACAATTTATAACTTTAGAAACATTATTGAAAAATCAATGTCTGTATTTTTTGTTTTGAATGTGTCTTACAGTAGTCAGGAATTAATTTTTCTTGACAACTTTTTAATTAAATTAAATAAAAATTGTATTTAATTTTATTTAATTGTATTTAATGAAATTTTTTATTTATGTAATTTTATTAATTTATTTAATTTTATTTCTTTATTTGTTATATTTTTATTAGATTTTTCTTATTTTTTTCTATTTAATTTATTTTAATTTAATTTAATTTTATTTTATTTTATTTTATTTTATTTTATTTTATTTTATTTTATTTTATTTTATTTTCCTTTAGCTTAGTTCCTTTATTTATCATGCCACAGCAGAGTGAACCACCAACTTATCCAGCATATGTTTTACACAGCGGATACCCTTCCATCTACAACCCAGCTCACACACTCATACACTACGGCAAATTTAGTTCATTCAATTCACCTAGTTTTTACCTATAGTGAATTAAATTAACCTATAGAGCAGGGGTGGCCAACCCTGTTCCTGGAGAGCCACCTTCCTGCAGATTTCAGTTGCAAGTGCAACCCATATCAAACACACCTGCCTGTTATTATCACGTGGTGTTCAGGTCCTAATTAATTGGTTCAGGTGTGTTTGATATGGGTAGCAACTGAAATCTGCAGTAAGGTGGCTCTCCAGGAACAGGGTTGGCCACCCCTGCTATAGTGTTACCTATAGTGTATTCACCTATAGTCTTCAGATTTTGCTAGAGTTTGATAGCTAGCTTATTTCACCATAATGCAAAGTAGATGTTATTGAAATTAATAATTCCCATTATTTCCCCTCTCAGAATCCATAAATGAACAAACAGTAACTAAATTCGTGTGATGTCTGTCTGCCACAGTTTGATTAAAGAGCGTGAGAGGAAATGCTCATGTTGTCTCCAGCCCGTCTGTGTGTGGACTCATCCAGATGAATGAGTGCTTGTAGCTCTCGTTGTTGGCAGTGAAGGCATGTGGGGCTGATGTATTAGCCGTATTAATGCACTGGCATGTGTGAGCGCTGGCCAGCATGTAGGCTTACGTCGGTCGCAGTGCCCAGAGAATGCCACCGGATGGTGTGCAGATCAGCTGTGCTCCACTGGCAGATGCTGGAGAGTAATGGCTGATGAATGAGCTTTCAGCCCCCTGCTCATCTGTGTGTGTGTGTGTGTGTGTGTGTGTGTGTGTGTGTGTGTGTGTGTGTGTGTGTGTGTGTGTGTGTGTGTGTGTGTGTGTGTGTGTGTGTGTGTGATATAGGGATCCAGATCAAGTGGAAGGGTCCATAGTTTTGGAAAACGAGATCATGCCATAAAGAGGAATCCCAGTGTTCCCGTGGTGGTGCGCGGATGGCTTTACAAGCAGGTAAGAGTTGATCAATATTTTTTTAACATTATGGAGGTTTTTAGATTTTATTCTGTACATCCAATGAATACTTGGATGTATTTTAAAGTTTGGCCATTTTGAGAGTTTAAATTAGCAAGGATTAAATTGATCAAAAGTAACAGAAAATTAATGGCTAAAAAAGGTTCCTTTTTTTCTAATAAATGTATAATGTTATATGTTTCTGGCATTTTACATTGCATTAATATATTACTTCATCATATTTCGTTTTGAACCACGTTATCAATGAGGAACTTTTAATTTTTTTTATTTATTGTATTCTTTTGTATATTATATTATTTCTTAGTATATAATTTGTGCTAATTTTATTGTGACTGCACAGCTCTTAACTTTTTAATTTTAGTTTGCAGTTTGCTTTTAGCAATTTTAAGCTTTTTCTTGGAAAAATTAAATACGCATCACATAAATACAGTATATACACTAACTGGTCACTTCATTAGGTACATCTTACTAGTACCGGTTGGACCCCTTTTTGCCTTCAGAACTGCCCTAATTCTTCGTGACATAGACTCAACAAGATACTAGAAATAATCCTTAGAGATGTTGGTCCATATTGGCATGATAGCATCACACAGTTGCTGCAGATTTGTCGGTTGAACATCCTTGATGCGAATCTCTCGTTCCACCACATCTCAAAGATGCTCTGTATGTTTGATATCTGATGACTGTGGAGGCCATTTGAGTACTGTGAACTCATTGTCATGTTCAAGAAACCAGTCTGAGATGATATGCGCTTTATGACATGGTGTATTATTTTGCTGGAAGTAGCCATCAGAAGATGGGTACACTGTGGTCATAAAGAGATGGACATGGTCAGCAACAATACTCAGGTAGACTGTGGCATTGACACATTGCTCAATTGGTACTAATGGGCCCAAAGTGTGGCAAGAAAATATCTCCCACCCCATTACACTACCACCAACAGCCTGAACTATTTATACAAGGCAGCATGGATCCATGCTTTCATGTTGTTGATGCCAAATTCTGACCCTCCGAATGTTGCAGCATTATTTAAGACTCATCAGACCTGGCAATGTTTTTCCAGTCTTCTCTTGTCCAATTTTGGTGAGTCCGTGCAAATTGTAGCCTTAGTTTCATGTTCTCAGTTGACAGAAGTGGCAGCCGGTGTGGTCTTCTGCCTCAAGGTTTGACGTGTTGTGTGTTCAGAGATGCTCTTCTGCATACCTCAGTTGTAGCAAATGGTTATTTGAGTTACTGTTGTCTTTCTGTCAGCTCGAATCAGTCTGGCCTTTCTCCTCTGACCTTTGTCATCAACAAGGCGTTTGCGCCCACAGAACTGTCGCTGACTGGATATTTTCTCTTTTTCAGACCATTCTCTGTAAACCCTAGAGATGGTTGTGTATGAAAATCCCAGTAGATCAGCAGTTTCTGAAATAGTCAGACCAGCCCGTCTGGCATGTTCAAAGTCACTTAAATCACATTCTTCCTCATATTGATGCTTGGTTTGAACTGCAGCAGATGGTCTTGACCATGTCTACATGTCTAAATGCATTGAGTTGCTGCCATGTGATTGGCTGATTAGAAATTTGCGTTAACGAGCAGTTGAACAGGTGTACCTAATTAAGTGGCCAGTGAGTGTATATAAACACTGTATATTTATAAGCAGTAAATTTACTTAAATATTATTGCAATATATTTTGTAGATTATTACTTAGAAAGCAATATTTTCTTTTAAATAAGATACTAATGTTGATGAATATTAGTCTTGTAACGTGAGACAAGAAGAACAGGAACACATATCTTAAAACTGACTACATTTTCCACTTTTTTTTTTCCCTACATTTTGAGTGCACAAATTCAACAAAAAAAGTCTTTTTTTTTCCGAAAGGCAACCAGTCAGTTCTAAAAAAAACAAACAAAAAAAAAAACATTCACGCATGGCGTTAAAACATCAGGAATGTATTTACATGAATCGTTGTTGATTAAAAAAATGGAAACAGGGAAGTCTGTTTGAAGTGCTGTGTTTCCCCATCACGTCTTCATCTGCCTGAAGGTGTGTGTATTTATGTGTTTTGTGCTTTCAGGACAGCTCAGGGATGCGGTTGTGGAAGAGAAAATGGTTTGTTCTGGCTGATTTTTGCCTCTTCTACTACAAAGGTAGGTTGCATACTGAACACTGAACACAATTATACAGCATAAGCATGATTTACATTCACTTGATATTTTTTCTTTGAGAAAACTTTTGCATATTTGCATACACATTAAAGTGAATCTTTTACAAAATCATGGTGTTCACTACAGTCTCTTGACCCGCTGCATCCAAGATAGCTATTTACATGCTAACTTTTCTCCCAGATGATGATTATTTGCATTCTCTGCTTGTAGTATTTGCATGATGGTCAACAAGTCCTAGTTCTACTAATTGCAACTTGAGTCTCTCAGCTCTTTTCTTCCTCCAGAGTTTAACTTGACACATTTAACTCTGAAAATAGTTTACTCAGGGAAATGAAGAGGATGTTTTTGGGTTACTCTAATATTTATGCTTGGATCAGACTGAAGCCTCCCTGGGAGCTTGCTATTTCAACTGACTCAAAACTTGTTTGTGTTGTTTTATTCGTTCATTCATTCATTCATTTTCTTGTCGGCTTAGTCCCTTTATTAATCCGGGGTCGCCACAGCGGAATGAACCGCCAACTTATCCAGCAAGTTGTTTTTTTTTTTACGCAGCGGATGCCCTTCCAGCTGCAACACATCTCTAGGAAGCATCCACACACACTCATACACTCTGAACAATTTAGCCTTCCCAGTTCACCTGTACCGCATGTCGAACCATCGCTCTCGAACCAGCGACCTTCTCGCTGTGAGGCAACAGCACTACCTACTGCGCCACTCCTTTGCCAAAAACTCAATAGTGTTGTTTATATCAATCTGTAAATGTCAAAATACACCCTGTGTTGTTTTAAACAAAGTATTTTTTTATTTTAATCCATGTAAGTGAAGATGAAACAAGTATATTTTATCAGCATGCTAAAATCTGTGGAGTCATGTTATAATCTAAGATTACTATGTCAGTACTTCTAAATTGGCATAAAGAATGCTTTAAAAATACTTTAAAGAATACTTTAAAATTAATACATGCACCACTTAATGCATGGTGCAAAAGGCATGTCCGTATCCACTTTTGCTATTTTTAGGACAGAAAAATACGCTTTGCACCCTGGTGCATGGTCGAACAGGGTTTTACAATACCATTTAATTGTAACAACGTTAATAGATTCAGTGTAACTTGAATTGTCTTGAATTCATGAGAAATGTTCATTTATTGTGGTGGTATTTTTTTTTTTTTTACCATAAGACTCTGTTAATATTACAACCTTGCAAGTGACATACAGTTTATTGACACCATAGAAGAACTGACAATACAATCTGCCACATTTATCTGTTTATGTGTGACTTGTGTAATAGCACTTTACAAAAAAAGATCAAGTTCAGTTTCAGCCATGCATATGTAATGTAGGAGTGCGGAATGAAAAAAGCCAATCTGTGTGAAAAAAAGAGTCTGATAGGCTACTCTAACAAAAATGTAAACAACTACAAGCCAAAATGTACATAGAATTATAAATTATACTTAAACAGTACATGTATACCTCAATCTTAACATTACTGTAAGCCTATAACACTTTAACTTTGTGTACATTTTAAAGCATACACTAGTATATAGCATAAATTGTGGTATATCTGTTCAGCACACAAATGTGGACTGAACATACTCTTATTTTTTTAGTTTTAAAGTTATAAATCTGCCTTTTTATGATGAACAGATTTACCAAATGCTATATACAATATAGGGGCGACATGGTGGCTCAGTGGTTAGCACTGTTCTACATTCCGGTCTACCCCACAGTCCAAAGACATGCAGGATAGGTGAATTGAATAAACTAAATTGTCCATAGTGAATGAGTGTGTATGGGTATTTCCCTGTACTAAGTTGCAGTTGGAAGGGCATCCGCTGTGTAAAACATATGCTGGATAAGTTGGTGGTTCATTCCGCTGTGTTGAAACCCTGATGAATAAAGGGACTAAGTCGAAGGAAAATGAATGAATGAATGTATACACAATTAAGGATTTTGAGATTCCAGTGTGTCTTAAGATCAGAAAAAAGTTTTTTTTTTTTTTTTTTTTTGTATTTTCACACCTTTTTGAAGAGACTTGGAGCAGGCTCTACCATAGATTTTGAGACAGGCCTCCACAAAATCCGCCATTTTAGACTGTAGGCCTCAAACTGGATTCCTGTAGGCAGGGCCGGAGCAAGTTCTACTGCCACTCTAGGCAAAGAGTGGGGTATATTTTTTCTATTCTGCCTCCCTAGACGCGGCTATAACTGAGGCACAGGTGGCGAGGGTAGTTTAGGGGACGCCACCCTCTCTATTCTGCCGCGGTAGACGCGGATATAACTGAGGCACGGGTGGCAAGGGTAGTTTCGGGGACGCCGCTCTCTATATTCTGCCACCCTAGATGCGTATATTATTGTGGCCGCACGTGGCGAGGATAGTTTCGGGGATGCCGCTCTATCTATTCTGCCACCCTAGATGCGGATGAGGGCGCGGGTGGTGAGGGTACTTTTCGGGGAGGGTACTTTCCTCTCTATTCTGCCACCCTAGGCGGCCGCCTAGGTCGCCTCTATGGAAGCGCCAGCCCTGCCTGTTGGGCCGCAGCTTTGCACAGTTTTGCTCCAACCCTAATGAAACACAGCTGATCAAAACAATCAAGGTATTCAAGACTACTATAAGCTATTAAGCAGGTGTGAGTTGGAGGTGGTTGAAGCTAAACTATGCAGAGCTGCGGCCCTTCAGGAATTGAGTTTGAGACCATTGGTTTCGACTGTATATGTCAAAAAATGCCCCTGCTAAGTCCTAGAGTGATATATTTTATTTTAGATGAGGTATAGTCCTAATTATAAAAAAATAGTTAACACTTTAATTCAAGGTGATGAAGTTATACAGTGGCTGCACGATGGTGCAGGGGTTAGCAAGTTTCCCTCACAGCAAAAAGATCACTGGTTCGATCCTTGGCTGGGTCAGTTGGCATTTCTGTGTAGCGTTTGCATGTTCTCCCTGTGTTCGCGTGTGTTTCCTCTGGGTGCTCTGGTTTCCCCCACAAGCCCAAAGACATGTGGAAAAGGTGAATTGGGTAAGCTAAATTGTCCGTCGTGTATGTGTGTGAATGAGAGTGTATGGATTTTTCCCAGTGATGGGTTGCAGCTGGAAGGTCTTCCACTGTGTAAAACATATGCTGTATGAGTTGGCGGTTCATTCCGCTGTGGCGACCCCAGATTAATGAGGGACTAAGCTGAAAAGAAATTAAATGAATGAATGAGTTATACAGTAAATGTTTCATGCTCTTTCTAACTTACTATAGTAATTACAATGAATTAAAAAAATGGACTAAAAATAACCCACATTTTAACTGTGTATAGTATGTTTAAATAATTCATATTACTCAGCAGTTAAATGACTAGTTACACTGTAACTATGTCACTTTAAAATAAAGTGTAACCACAATTTATTAATTATTAATTATATTAAAAAGAAAAATCTGATCTGCTTTCTTTCAGCTTTTTTATGTTGTTTTCCCCTCGTGCGTTTATAATAGGATGCAATTCTTCCGCATTTTCCAGTCAGTCTGCTTTCTCCGCTCTCTGCCCACTCAAACGAAAACATGACCTGCCTTAGTTTTGGAATTTCTCCTTCAACCCACCTTGAATTATTTTTAACCCATTACATCCTAATCCGTCCACCCTTATCGCCTTGTCAACTCACCACTTGATGTGTTTCAGACACACAGACTGGAAAGAAACGGTCAGGTCGGTTCAAGGCTAAACTTAAATGTGTGAGGTGTGGTGATGCTATCAGAGTGGTGTGAGAAAAGACAGGTCCGAGACTATCACATGCCAGCAAGAAAAAGAGACGAAGACAAAACCAGCCTGTTGTTTCTTTATCCCACAGACAGCCGTGAAGAGTCAGTTTTGGGTAGCATTCCTCTGCCCAGCTACACCATCGCTCCGGTGGGACCTGAAGATCACATCAGCCGCAAATATGCTTTTAAGGTAAGGCTGCGTTTTATATTAATGACTTGCTTTTAAACAAATGATTAAAACGATTTACCCCTTAAATTGGGAGCAGTGCATGTTTACTTACTTAATAAAGGTAAAACGTTATGGATCATTCATAAGTGAACATTCTGTCATCATTTATTAATTTCCTGTGAAACAGAATTGAAATTGTTTTAAAGAGTGTACGGTAGTCGGTAGTTATTTTAAATAAAAGTACAGCGAATAAGAACGGAAGCTTCTAAAAGATACATTTGCTCTCTCTGAAGATCACACTCTAAAAAATATTGTTGAGATCAAACAAAAAAAATTAAGGCAACAGTTTGCATCAATATATTTAAGTTACGACAACATCTAACAAAATGAAGTTCAGACAACAAACTTTATTATGTTAGCCAAATGACCTTTTCTTCTTTAATTAGCAGCATTTTAAATAGCATAAACGCCATTTAAGTTGAGTACTCAAAAGTTAAGTAGATTCAACTAGTGTTTTTAATTAAAACTGAAAACAAATCCGGTGTTATGTACTTAATTACATCCAAGTTTTCAAGTTTAGAACCTCAAATAAATGAAGTAGCTGAAATTGTTTTCAAATGTACAGTTAATTGCTTGCAAGAAACACATTTGACAACAACATTTTTGTTTTCCAGAAATTATTTATTTGTTTTAAACCACAGATTTTCTTTATTTTACAAAACAAAAACATGTACTGTCCAATATAAACAGTATAAAAAATAACAATACACATGAGTGTGTGGACTTAAAAATACAAAACAACTCCATTAGTGTGGAAAACATTAGTTCGACCCAATCCACCCAATTTCTTTGGGTTGCAACAACTTAAATATTGTTTTAAACTAATTGACAGATATATTTTCCTTTAAATTAGCCACATTTTTAAGTTGATGTAATTATCAATATTTTCCTGTTTTGAAAACAATAATATTATTCTGGCAACTTAAAAAGCTTTATTCTAATGAGCATTTTAGAATCGCACTATACTGTACTCAATATCTACACTGTAAAAAAACTTTCTGCCTTAAATTTTTATGTCGTCTCAACTAAAAACAGTCAAACTGACTAAACATATTTTGTTTAACTTTGTATAGCCACAAGAAAATTAGTTAAAACTTGATTAACTTAATAAAGTAAGTTAAAGTAACTTAAATTAAATGTAATTTTTCTGACCTGCACTTTAAAAAAATAAAAGAACAAGTCAATATTACATTGTATTCTATTTTAAATGGGTAACATTGTTTATTCTAATAAAAAGATATTTTCAAAATATAAATTTTTGTGCTTCACTGTAATCCATAAAGTATTATAATATGTCATCAAATGACTACCATTCTAAATATAACTCACCTTTTTAATATATAAACGTTTTTTACACTGAATGGCATTGTAATGGGTTTTTCCTGGCCACTGGCTTGCTTGGTTAGGGACTTGTACATCAGTATATTTGCTCTTCAGTGTTTGGACTTTCAGAAGTGAAAATTGAACCACTGAATTGAACTTCAACTTTGAAAACTTACACAATTTCAATTTACTTGAACTAATCTGTTAAGCTGTTTTAACAATCTACATTATAAAATCACTATTTACACTGAATTGAAGTATGTTCTGTAATCATGAAAAAAATGTCAGTTATTATATGACAAGTAAAATATTGGTAAAAAAAACTAAATTATATTATATACTAAAGCAACTTTTCCTAAAGGGACATTTTCACAGTATTTTCTGTTATATTTTTATTCTGGAGAAAGTCTTATTTCTTTTAGTTTGGATTGAATAATAAAAAATTATAATAATAAAGTGTCAGAACTGTATCCCCTTAACATTTTTTTCCCGATTAACTACAGAACAAGCCACTTTTGTCCAACAACTTAATTATCCTAACTTGCCTAGTTTACCTAATTAACACAGTTAAACCTTTAAACTCCACTTCAAGCTGAATAATTCTAGTATTTTTTAAAAATAACTAATAATATATTGTGCATTGTCATCATGGTAAAGACAAAAAATTTGAGAAATGAGTCATTAAAACTAGCTGTAAAAATGTGTAGAAAAAAATCTCAGTTAAACACTTGGGAAATATTTGAAAAGGAATGAAAAATTCACAGCTTCAACTGAATATATATGCATATATTTGTTTTAGTAATATAGGCATTTTTCAGTGAAGATATAATGCAGCCATGCAATTTGTGAATATGGTGAGTAAATGATGACACAAGTTTTATTTATGGGTAACTCCATCATTGACAACTGTCACAAAATAAACTCCTTCGGATTAATACAAGTCCTAAAACACATCACAATTTATATCTGACTGATGACGAATGTAAAACCTCCTTGCTCGTTCATCTCATTTTTCTTGCAGTATCTGCTTCATGTCAATCATCTTTCTGCTTTGTCTTGTGGAATTGGCTAAATTCTTTGAATCACTGTGCAGTTCTGAATATGCTTACTTCATTGTCTAGCATGGCTTCAGCCTAGTTTGGTGAACGTAGCCATTTGCCTAAGACAGAAATCAGCTGTTTAATATGCTCAAAACATGGTCTTTTCATTCAATTTAAAGTACATTTTCCCCATGGAAGTAAATAATGTTTTTATACACACATACACAGCTCTTCTTGTTCAGAGCTTATCTACGAGCGAGGTTTGTTGTAGGTGAATATTTTAGCTGTGGTTTTTGTGGTTTCATCCCCTGCAGCTTGTGCGCTTCACTGTTGTCCTCATGGGGTTCATGACACAGAGTGAATGTATGGGTCTGTACTCTTCCTGAGGGCAACAAGTTTATATAACCATGTCTACCTCTCTCCACTCATCTCCATAGTGCTCTTGTTCTCAAAAATGGAAATGTGTTTTTCAATGTGGGAGCAGGAGACGATGTTACAGGTTTCAAGAAGATCTTAAAGCTTCATAGTTTTCAGTTGATCTCAGTTTGCACTTAGCAGCACTCCTCTTTCACTTTCCTTCTTTAATGGATAGTTTTACACAGTCCCCGGTGTCATGTTGTTCTCCAACAGTGCTGTTTGCTAAACTGGATGCTGCAAACAAGAATATGTAAAAGAGCATTTAGCTGGTGTTTGCTCTTACATAAAACCACATGAGCTTCACATGTGAAGCATGTGGAACACTATTGGAATACATTTGAATGATGTTTTTGTTATGAAACCCATGTTATCATGTTTCCGTATGTCATTTTGTTTCCGTATGTTACATTGTTCAAATGTGGTAGTATAACTTCACATTAAATATTAAAAAAACACACTTCATGTTTCCATGTGTTTCACATATTTCACATGCTATTTCAATATTATTTCCCTTGTGAAGCTCATGTGTTTTTTTCTTTTTGGATAAGAACATATGTGAATGTTCTCAGAATGTTTAAAACCAGTTGCAAGACAAGAAAAGTGAATAAACTTTGGTGAAATATGGTGTCTTCAGTGACTGTACTTATATATAATAAGTAAAGTCATAATTTTACAATACATGAGATAAAAATGGGCAAACAGATAAAAAAAATTAACCAAATCATACATTATTACTATTTAAGGTCTTCAAAAATGAATGCTTATATTAAAAAATATTGTGTTAAATTATTATTACATTCAGTTATTATTACATTCGAAACACTTAATTTGTTTATCTTTCGAACACAAAATAAGATACTTTAGATGAAATCTGAGACCTCTCCAATCCTCCATCGACAGCAACATTTAGAGACATTTAAAGTAAAAAAAAACAATATATATACTGTCAAACATCTCTGTCCCTATCATACACCCAGCGCAATAAGGTGCAAGACGTGTTTGACATGTTTTTTTGCTATTTTTTTTAAGACCAGTGCAACCCTAATTTTCACATTTTGCACCACGTTCTTCAAATAGCTAATCCATTTGCGCTACTTTGTGAACTGATGGGGGTGCCAGTCTATAAAAGGGTGTGTTAAGGTGCATCATTGACGCATTGCTATTTTGAAGAACTAAAATTCATGACAATTTGCACTTAATGTTATTATTCTTAGCAGAATTATTTAATTTATGCTTATTTATATTTGTTTTAATAAAAACAGGTTTAGATTTGTCCACCTGTTGGGTTTCGGAAACATGCGTCACACATGCCATAAGAATAGGACGTGTGTTTAGATATGACACACTTTATGAATATTGTTCATTTATTTGTTTGCTGGAAATTTAAAAAAAGTTTGAAACAAAGCTTTGCGATTTACAAACGAAATTAAATATGTAGGCTGATGAATTTGTTCAGTGGAGTGTGTACAACAACATTTCCTTATCCACGAAAGTTAAGTTAAGAGTAAAAGTAAAGAGAAAGAGAAAGCAAAGAGGACGAATGGAAGAGGGTTATTTTTTATGCCAGATGGTCTGTTTAACTGTTTTCTTGCCAATGAAACATTTAGTTTTTCCACTTACAATGTCTGCCATTCTAAATTGCAAATGCACCATGACGCGGCGCAACTGACTCTTAAAGGGAATGGGAGATCAGACTCTTGTTGGTTTAATGCTCAGAACACGCATAACTCAATAAGAGATTAAGCACAACCTTGTTAGACCATGCACCGTGCACCCCATGTCACTTCAGTGGTTCAATTGTTCAAAAGCACACTTTTGTGTGCCTAAAAAAAATTTTAAAATACCAAAAAACTTGTTTGCTAGTGTATTCCAAATAAGATCAGAGTTTGATTTTACTATGTGCAATATGACACTGCTGACTCTAATGGCAAATACATTGCACTGCCCCCACAGTAAACGCACACCCTGACCTGACGGAGGAGGAAGATATACAGAAATGTACAGCTTTAAAGTTTTTTTGGGGGGCACAGTGATTTTGGAGCTTTGGATGCTTGCAGTTAAAAAACTGAAATGATTTCACAATGTTTTTGGCTCCTTTTCTGGACTCTGAATGTCCTGAAACTGTTGCTGTCTATGATAGATGAGAGCTCTCAGATTACATTAAAATATCTTAATTTGTGT